TTTAGATGAATTTAAGTTTTAACAGGATGCATTTTGATAAGATATAGCAAATTTGTCTAAAATTATCATAGAAAATACTGACTCTACCTAACCCCACCTGCCCTAACATAACTAAGACTAGAACAAATAAGTCTGTTAGATGGTTTGAATAAATACATAAATATGGTGGTCTGATTGGAGAGAATGTAACAAGGAAGGTATTAATAAGACATAAAAACAGTGGACATATGTTAGATGAATAGTTTAGCACTAATAATGTTGATATCTTAATGGAAAAGAATGTGTTATATATTGAGCTCATTGGAAGTTATAAGAAACATTTTTATATGTGAAATTCTGACTTTTGGGGAGTTGGTTAAACTCAGCATATTATAATTAATGTCCTAAATATACCCAGAAAAATATCATGCAAATTGTGTATTGTTTGACCCAGTTGGTTGTGTTTGTACATATATAGCACAATTAATATACTTGTGTATTAATTGTGCAGATTATGTATTTTGCATATGTTGTATGATTATTGAAATTATGTATTGATTATATTTCTATAAATTGTGTATTGTTTTGTGCAAGTTGTATGTATTAATTGTATATGTTTTTGTATGTGTATTTGCGGAAATTGCATAGTTGTGGATTTAATGAATATGTGCTAGTTATGTATTGTTCATATTTTGGTAAGTTGTGTATTGATTATATTTTTGAGCTAGTTGTGTAAATGTCGCAATTGTATTTGTGTAAATCGTGTATTTATGCTAGTTGTGTATTTTCATATTTGGGGTAGTTATGTATTGCACGTATTTGTGCTAGATATGCATTTGTGCAAGTTGTGTGTAATAAATATGAAAGATGTGTAATATTGTATAAGTTGTGTATTAATTGCGCATGTTGTGTAATTGCATATGGACGAATTGTTTATTTATACCTTTGGGTATTGATTGTCATTGTGCAAGCTGAGTAATTATATAGCAAGTTTTCTTGTATTAATTGTGCAAAGATGTAAAATAATTACACAAACTGTGTAATAATTTTTGTGATAATAGTGCATTTATGCAAGTTGTGTTTTTAATATGTTGAAGTGTAACTGGTGAAACTGTATTTGTGTGTGAAAATTGTGTATTTTGTGTAAGCTCTGTAATTTGATAAAATAGATCTTTATGGTGTAAGTGTATTTTGGTTTATGAGACAATGTGTGGGTATTTTGTGAAAATTACGTTTGTGAAATTGTGTAATTTTAGTTAAAGTGCATTTTTTATTGTCTAAATGCATAAGCATTTTGATATATTTGTGCAAAATACCGTACTTTGTGTAAATGTCATACTCTGAGTGTACATGCAATATTGTGTAAATGGTATATTTTTGTTTGCAACTGACATATTTTGTATGAAAATCTCATATTTTTTTATGTGATGGTATATTTTGAGTGTAAATAATATATTTTGTGCATAAATGGCATATTTGGTGTGTAAATGCTGTATTTTCTGTGTGTATGGCATAAATTACATCTGATTAATGGGGAAATGGTGGCAAAAACTAGGCTATTCTCTATGAATGCATAGGTTTTGAAGTATGTGTAGGTATGCATGATTGTATTTGCGAGTGTTGGTTTAGAAACAAGTTAGCTGATTTGCGCAGGAAGACTAGGATTTTTTGAGGTGTAGAAATGATTAGCCTATGAATATAGTGGCTAACATCCAGCTGAGTTGCTAGATGGATGAATTGAGGTGCGACATTTGGATATCTATTTGATGGATGTGAGGACAGTTGACTAGCCTATGAACACAGCCACTAATCCGCTGTACTGCCAGATGTGTGGTAACTACTTGTGGATTATAGTAGAATATCTAGATATAGGGTTTTCATAATTGCTGTTGTGTATAAAACTAGAATAAGAGCTATTTATTAAAACTATTATTGTAAACTAATACTTTAAGTGGGATCCCTTGGTTGTTTTAAGCATAGGGTGGACATGAATGAGATTGGGTGGAAATATATAGGAGCTGCCTCGTATGGGCCAATAGGACCTCTGCAGTCACCTTTATTCTTATGTTCAGCTCACCTGCTATGCTGCCAGATGTACGATTCTGCTTAAATTGCAGTATGACATTTGGCATTCTGTTATACTTTTGAACTTATCACTGAATAATGATTACAGTTGTGGATGACTAAAATGTATATTCTTATACCTCTGATTAGGTTAGGTGGGGATGGATATTCTAGTCATTTTTGAATAATAACATCAAATACTCATGCCAGTAGGACGCCAAAGGTCGCATTGGTTGTCTGGTGACGTCATACATAGTTGACCAGTAAGGTACTGTAATACCTTCACACCTATATGCTAATGACCATCAATACCTTATCCCTATACCTGAGGTCGCTTTTCACGATGTCACTAAACAACAACAATAACTGTTCTGTAGAATGTATTTGTTTGTTATAAATAATATGTTAGGTTAGGTTAGGTTAGGATAGTTTGATCGGGTTTATGAATAACAGAAAATATAAGCAATGAGCGAAAATACGAGCTATTGTAGCTGAATATCAACTTTGATGAAGCACAGAGTATAGGTGAGGTATTAAGCCTGATTAAGAGTTCTCACTTATGTGTGAACCTCCTGGGATCCGCATTTAGCCCGTTGACGCCTCGCGCCACATTAGGGATGATGACGTCACAAAAGGCGGTAACTGCAGAAGGCCTGCTTTTCAAAATATGAGAGGCTTGCTTTTACTGAATGAGTTTTTTTATTTGTTAAATGCTACAGTATGGTGTGGGAGGTACCATTTTGGCACGAATGTGAGTTTGTGCATAAGGATTGGGTCACTACCGAACTCGCATTGAAATCACAATGCCTGGCAGGGCTCTGTTTTTTCATATAAACGACTGATAGCAGTTTTTTTTTTGCCCTATGCATAATAAACAATCCTTGAAGAAAGATTGTCAAAGCTGAAATTACTTTCTCTAGAACGACGACGACGAAGAAGAAATAGGGGTGACATGATAGAGGTGTGACTGAATGGTCATGATAAAGGGGAATATTAATAACCTATTATACGTATCAACATGAACAGAATAGGAAATGAACTGGATAAGTTTTATATTTAGGAAAAAGACCTGGGTAAATACTGGTTCTGTAAACAGGGTTTGAACTCATTTCTTATGTTATTATTATGTAATCTTAGCTATAAAATGATCTTAGACAATGGGAAACCGTATGGTAATACCTAATTGTGAAAAAACGAGCTTATAATGATTAACGCCATTGCACATTAGGCTTGACAGAAGGCAGCATTTGAATCCCCCTTTGCTATAAATATTGAAAATGGGAATAATTACACTATAACAGAAAACGGACTAATACAGGGAAGATGAAGACGGGGGTGACGTCATTGACCATTAGCAATGTCTGTGCATGGCCCACTGGGGTAACGAAAAACAGGTACGCCAGAACGTGTCCCATTAAAACTGTAACGAAAAACAGGTACGCCTACGCGTGTCCCATCAAAACTGCAACGAAAAACAGGTACGCCAGAACGTGTCCTCTCAAAACTGTAACGAAAAACAGGTACGCCTACGCGTGTCCCATCAAAACTGCAACGAAAAACAGGTACGCCAGAACGTGTCCCATCAAAACTGCAACGAAAAACAGGTACGCCTACGCGTGTCCCATCAAAACTGTAACGAAAAACAGGTACGCAAGAACGTGTCCCATCAAAACTGCAACGAAAAACAGGTACGCCTACGCGTGTCCCATCAAAACTGTAACGAAAAACAGGTACGCCAGAACGTGTCCCATCAAAACTGCAACGAAAAACAGGTACGCCTACGCGTGTCCCATCAAAACTGTAACGAAAAACAGGTACGCCTACGCGTGTCCCATCAAAACTGTAACGAAAAACAGGTACGCCTACGCGTGTCCCATCAAAACTGTAACGAAAAACAGGTACGCCTACGCGTGTCCCATCAAAACTGTATCGAAAAACAGCTACGCCTACGCGTGTCCCTCGAAAAAAGCAAAACGGACACGCGTAGGCGTACTTTCCACTACTGGGGGCACATCAGGACCACAGGGAGGCACATCAGGACCACAGGGGACACATCAGGACCCAGGGGGGCACATCAGGACCACAGGGGGGCACATCAGGACCACAGGGGCACATCAGGACCACAGGGGCACATCAGGACCACAGGGGCACATCAGAACCACAGGGGGGCACATCAGGACCACAGGAGGGCACATCAGGACCACAGGGGGACACATCAGGACCCCAGGGACACATCAGGACCACACAGGGACACATCAGGACCCCAGGGGGGCACATCAGGACCACAGGGGGCACATCAGGACCACAGGGGGGGCACATCAGGACCCCAGGGACACATCAGGACCACAGGGGGGCACATCAGAACCACAGGGGACACATCAGGACCCCAGGGGGGCACATCAGGACCACAGGGGGCACATCAGGACCACAGGGAGGGCCCACTTACCCTGTGTCAAGAGAGTTACTGCCGGGAAATGACAAACTTCGCCTCACCTGAGCATACAAAACCTATAACAGTTTCTGATATTGACTGGTGGGGGTGTGACTAGCCGACGTCACCCCCCCCCCCAAACCCCTCCTCCCCTGTGTACCTGGGCACGAAGACCCCCCCCCCTCCCCCCCATTCAAGTGATCAATGTAGCCACTATAACGTACAATAACAGGTTATAGCCACTATAACCGTGTTATAGCCACTATAACACGGTACATTTGAGACTACTGTAGTGCCCTAGTGTTGTAGGAACTCAATACCCGTCAGCTGACTGTTCTCAGGCGTGCCTGATAGACTGTTTTATTGCCACGTTTATCTATTCTCTCTGTTAAGTCCTACATTTCTTTCTTCTCTTTCCTTGCCTCTTCCCCCCTTCCGTTTCTGGCAGCGTATGTGCACCTTTGGAAGCGTTAGGCAATTGTTTATCAAGTTTTGGAATTTCAACTGAATATGGGACCCCTTCAAGGGCTCTAGGGACCCCTTCAAGGGCGCCAGAGACCCCTTCAAGGACTCCAGAGACCCCTTCAAGGACTCCAGGGACCCCTTCAAGGGCGCCAGAGACCCCTTCAAGGACTCCAGAGACCCCTTCAAGGGCGCCAGAGACCCCTTCAAGGGCGCCAGAGACCCCTTCAAGGGCGCCAGAGACCCCTTCAAGGACTCCAGAGACCCCTTCAAGGACTCCAGCGTCTGAAGCGTCAGCAACTAAGTTCAAAAGCAAAATGGCGGGCTCGTCGACATAACCAAAGATTTTCACCTGAATTTACCTGAGGGACACGGTCCCTCTAGTGGCCTCGACGGGGACAGGAAGCCTGCATACTTCCAGTTTCAGCGAGTCACTGCGGCTACCCAGCGAGGAAACGCCCGCAGCATCCACCAGCCTCTTCTTCACTCTGACCGAAGACTGGAACTTCAGGAGTGAAACTTCAACAAGTTCCACACCTGTCGGAATGGAACTTGTGAAGTACCGTAGAACTTCATGGCGGAGGGTGTGGAGGTGAACAGGTGAACAGGTGAAGGTGAACAGGTGGAGGAAACAAAAAACACGAGTCATTTGAATTCAAAAAATTCTTAACCGTCACAAACGTTCTGAATGACGTCATCAGCTCAGGGCCTTTGTGGGGATTATCTGAATGACGTCATCAACTCCAGAGCTCATCCTCCCCCAGCAAGCAATAGCCTCCCCCAGCAAGCAATAGCCTCCCCCAGCAAGCAATAGCCTCCCCCAGCAAGCAACAGCCTCCCCCAGCAAGCAACAGCCTCCCCCAGCAAGCAATAGCCTCCCCCAGCAAGCAATAACCTCCCCCAGCAAGCAACAGCCTCCCCCAGCAAGCAATAGCCTCCCCCAGCAAGCAATAGCCTCCCCCAGCAAGCAATAGCCTCCCCCAGCAAGCAATAGCCTCCCCCAGCAAGCAATAACCTCCCCCAGCAAGCAACAGCCTCCCCCAGCAAGCAATAGCCTCCCCCAGCAAGCAACAGCCTCCCCCAGCAAGCAATAGCCTCCCCCAGCAAGCAATAGCCTCCCCCAGCAAGCAACAGCCTCCCCCAGCAAGCAACAGCCTCCCCCAGCAAGCAACAGCCTCCCCCAGCAAGCAATAGCCTCCCCCAGCAAGCAATAGCCTCCCCCAGCAAGCAACAGCCTCCCCCAGCAAGCAACAGCCTCCCCCAGCAAGCAACAGCCTCCCCCAGCAAGCAACAGCCTCCCCCAGCAAGCAATAGCCTCCCCCAGCAAGCAAATAAACCCTCCTACATTCCTAAGACTTCAGCCTCCAATTTTGCCTGTCAAGTGATATTATTGACCGTTAATCCACTGTGCTATATATATATATATATATATATATATATATATATATATATATATATATATATATATATATATATATATATATATAATGATCGTACTTTGCACACTCGACTGCAACGAAAAATAATTTAGTTTTAGTCTTGTTAAAGAAAATGGAAGTCTGAACTGCATGTCAGCTCGCCAATTTTGGTTTTAATGGTCAAAGTTTTAGGATAAAGTCTGAGACAGGGAATGTAAGACTTTGTACTGGTGTATTTGTATTCCCTTCTCCAGTGGTGTTTCATATATGTTAATTACTTTATCTGTCTCTTAGTCTTCCAGTTTCCCTGTCTCTCAGTGTCTCTGTGTCTCTGTGTCTCAGTGTCTCTGTGCTTCTGTGTCTCTGTGTCTCAGTCTCAGTGTCTCAGTGTCTCAGTGTCTCAGTGTCTCAGTGTCTCTCTGTGCCTCTCTGTGCCTCTCTGTGCCTCTCTGTGCCTCTGTGTCTCAGTGTCTCAGTCTCAGTGTCTCAGTGTCTCAGTGTCTCAGTGTCTCTGTGTCTCTGTGTCTCTGTGTCTCTGTGTCTCTGTGTCTCTGTGTCTCAGTGTCTCAGTGTCTCTCAGTGTCTCAGTCAGTGTCTCAGTGTCTCAGTCTCAGTGTCTCAGTGTCTCAGTGTCTCAGTGTCTCTGTGTCTCTGTGTCTCCGTCTCTCCGTCTCTCCATCCCTCACAATTTGTGGGATAGACAGGCTATTAATCTCAGAATTATTAATGCCTGAGGCGCCATGATTTGTGAGGAGGGAGAATGGACGCAGCCAACCACCGCTGCCCACAACAGGTCGACGAGCCTGTGTGTGGTGCCTCACTCTTGCTGCAAGATCCCGCTGTTAGCTCTTGGGCCCCGCCTTCCTTACCGCCGGTTGTCTAATGGATTCACTCCCACCTCTCTTTTTCTATTTCTTGTCTAGTACATACATCTCTCTCTCTCTCTCTCTCTCTCTCTCTCTCTCTCTCTCTCTCTCTCTCTCTCTCCTCTCTCTCTCTCTCTCTCTCTCTCTCCCTCTCTCTCTCTTTCTCTCTCGTACAGAAAAAGGACAGGAGTGGAAGCTAGAAACTCTAGTAAGCCGGTGGAATGTAAGTAAGCATTTAAGTTGTTAAGTGTCTTAACTAAGTGAAATGACTTAATTGGGCATGCATTTGAGGCTAACTCCATCCACAGGTTAGATACGAAGCAATATCAATAGAATGGAGAAGAGATAGATCAATAGAATATTCGATAGAGATAGAGCATTCGCATCAATGCAATAGATTCTAATGGGGAAGCAATAGTGTCGCCAGCGATGATATATGCCAACCAGCGACTAAACGAAGGGGTCCAGGAGCTGAAGCTTCCCCATTCAAGCAGATATATATGTGGACACACACCAGCATGATTTATGGGTGTTGCAGGGGCTCGAACTGAGGAAGGTCACAGTTGGGCTCCCAACTCGTGTCTGGCGCCAATATCGTATCACAATAACGCCAGGATTCCTCGTTACTACACCCCTTAATGTCTGTATATCGTCACTTGTCCTCATGCACCCTCCCTCTCCTCCTCTCTACCCACTATCCCTCCCTCCCTATCCCTTCTTCCCTCCCTCCCTCTCTCTCCATAACCTCTCCTTCCTCTCTCTCTCCTCTTACCTCTCCACTCCCCCTTCCGTTCCTGTTTATGTTCTAATCTTAATTAATTGACGATGGCTAGAAAGCCGTCTATCCATCAGTTAATCTGTTAGTTGACTCAGTCTCGGCTGTTAGTTGACTCAGTCTATCAATCAGAGGTTCAACCTGTTTGTTATTTTCTTTTTCAGTCTATCTCCATCTTCAGTTTTGCATGACTTAGAAGCGAAAGATTTGGAATTACTTACAAACTCTCAAGACTGCAGTCTGAACGTCATATCTTCCAGAGTAGGTATGACAAGTGGCCGCTGACATACCCGGAGCCCAACAGCTGAAGCCCGCCCTCTAGGATAAAAAAAAAGAAGAATGCCCACCTAAATTGAGCCTTAATCCCATAAAGTGTACGGTTATATGAATGGATGAGCATATAGACCCAAAAGAACAGAGAGAGAGAGAGAGAGAGAGAGAGAGAGAGAGAGAGAGAGAGAGAGAGAGAGAGAGAGAGAGAGAGAGAGAGAGAGAGAGAGAGA